TGAATCAATAAAAAATGTAAAAAAAAAAAAGATTCAGAAGAGCGCGATGACTTAACACAAACAGCACAAAACCTAGTCACTTCAATAAAAAGAGCTAGAAAACAGATCTCCAGATCCTAAGTAGATAAAAGGTTTCCATTACCCCCTACATTTAAATCACTAATAATAGCTCACAGTTACAGAGACCTTACTGTATGGGTACACTTGTCTAATTTGATCAGCTCCGTTTTACAAAATCATTCATTTCAATTCTAACACATTATTTTTTTCTTTTCTAAAAACTTGTTTCCAATTTCCAATTTCTCAAAAAAGAACTAAGCTCACTGATTTTCAAATTACTTATTTGCTAATATATTTATTCATGGCAATACATTTTCTGGTAAATATTGTTTCAGTTACATCCCACAAATTATTATATGTAATTCTTTGTTACTCAGTTCCGAAATATTTTGTAATTTCTGTTGTGATTTTGTCTCTGATGCTTTGATTATATAGAAATGCACGTGTGTGCTATGTGTTGCCTCTGGTTAATTTTCAAATGTATGTTTTGTAGGGGAAAGGATGCATTTTGCCTATGTTTTTGTTTGTTTCATTTTTATCAGCCATAGTCCAAAGTTCGCATTACGGTTCATTCTTGGTGTTGTACATTCTATGGGTTTTGATAAATGCATAATGTCATGTATCCATCACTATAGTACCATACAGAGTATTTTCACTGCCTCAGAAATCCTCTGTGCTCCCCCTGTTCATACTTCCCTCCCCCAAAGCCCCTGGCAACCACTGATCTTTAAACTGTCTCCATAGTTCTGCCTTTTCCAGAACGTTACAAAAAAAAAGAAAAAAAGAAAAGTAGACAACTGGGCTCTTTCAGGCATTTCCATAAATGTTCACGGGTGCGAGTCTGTGGATGAATCTGACAACCGGAGGGCATCTCAACTTCAGGACACTGCAACTATGTTCATGGAGAAGGCACCTGACGTGCTGTATTTTATGATGGTAAAGAATACAGTAGGGTTTATGACAGGCTGGCCCAGAATGTTCTGATCGTCCTCTCTAAACATACATGCGTGCCCACCACACGAAATGGAAACTTTATTTCCATTGCAGTCCCTTTAGATCCTGATAAAAACCTCTGTAAACCTCCTATGCATGTTCTAACACTTAGAAAAAACCCCTTTTAATGCTGGTCTTAGAATCATTTTGAGCACCTTCACCCCATCCTGAGCCCCCTCGACTTCTCGGCTTCTTTTTCATCAGTCCGACCCATCCCTTCACTTCATCGTCTTTATTTGTCATCCTCGAGGCATGTGCTTTACAGAGTCATCCTTGATCCTTCCAAGCACGCCTTCCGCTTCATGTGCTGGTCGTTTCCTTTAGCCTTGTAAAGGGGACTCCTTGAAGATGCCAGGCTGGGAAGCTCCCTTTTCACCTGTGCACGTACCTTCTTAGGACTTCATTATTTTGTATGGATTTTACGTTCATCAGGAGTGCTCTCACAAAATGAGAAAGGCGAAACTGCACAGCAGTTCCATCAGCTTTTTTGCCTCTCTTTGTAACATTGCCCAGTTCCCTTTCCCTGATGCCCTCACAAAGTTCCACCTCCTCAGAGATCCCCTCCCCTGCGAAGCACTGATTATTTTCTGGTGGTTTTTGGTCAAACTCTGTGTTTAGCTGGATGCAGTGTCAGGTAACCAAACCAAACCAAAACAGTCTAATTTAAGAGGAGGTTTAATAACCTTTGCATTTTCATCACATCCACTCTTGCCTAAATTTAGGGAAGTGGCTGCATTTCAAACAAGCCTAGCGCGCCTGCCCAGCAGGAGGCGTGGAAGGGTTTTCTGAGCCCTCAAACCCCATCCCAGTGAAAGAGGCTAAACTCTCTAGCGCTTGTCTTGATGTTCTGAACGGGGGCTAGAAGGTTCTTGATCAGGGCGGTAGTCAAGGGATCAGGGGACGTAAGACCTGGCAGCAGAGGCTTTGTCCAAACCAGTATTTCTCTGAAGGGATTACCATCATTTTTTTTTAAGTATGTCTGTACACACCATGAACCACCCACCCATCTACCCATGGGTCCATCCCATCATTCAGTGTATCTGCTCTCTC